GATGGCTTCCTTCCACATGAGGATGTCGGGACGGCCGACCAGCGGAGGGGTGACCGAGATCCTGTCCGGCGTAAACTTAAAGTAGCCGTAGCTCGGCGCAATTCCTCCCGCGGTCACGTGAGCCGCCGACATCGGCGCCATTTCACTTCGTCTGCCTCCGACGTAGTTTCGCGGGGTCCCTGCAGCCACCGATGACTGCATTCCTCGAGCCCGAACGCCACCGACTTCATCGGCGTGAATCACACCTCGCTGCCTCGACGTGCCTCCCGCGCTGCTGCCGACTTGGCCACCACCCGCGTTGACGTCCGCGTCAACGCCGCTCGCGTTGTTCACCGGTCGAGGAGATGCAGGCCGAGAAGGGGGGTGCTCCGCTTCCCACAAGGCACGGATGCCAGCCTCAACGACCGTCAGCGCGAGAGTTCCGTACTCGTTCGCCGCATGACGTCTCCTCGCGTCCTCCAGCCGTGTTTCCAAGGTGTCCACGACACTTCCGTCACCTACGGCTCCTACCATAGTGACTACCGCACAGCTGCCGGTCTACGAACAAACTACGTGAGTGAGAAGTCAGCTAAACCGAAGGTTTCATCGCGGTGTCGTCCACGCTCACCGCACCATGCGGAGATAACTGTTGCAACGGGAGCTAGACTGCGGGCTAGGCACGGATGCTCGTGTGATCTCTGCGTTCGTTCATTCCTTAGTCGTTTCCAAGAGCTAAGACTGCTTGCTAGTTCACGGGGAAAATTGGCAAGAGTTTCACTAGCAAAAAACATCACAACAAAAGTTCAGAATGATTGCATCAACATTGGCAACACTAACTACATCAAACCTAGCAAGGCTTGCTTGTCCACTGCCAGCGCAGCACGGTCGACCGTGCTCCAGCAGAGCAGTGTCGCGGCTTGCCAACGTTGCAAGTCCGCGGTGCGCCAACGCTGCAGTATGTCGGCTGCACAGCGTCGCATCCGCGGGACAACGGTGCACCAGCTTCGCAGGTGCGTGCAGCTGGTTGGCGCCCAACTCCCCGTCACATGCCCAACGCAGACACTCCGCCTGTGACGGCGCCCACCAGCCACGTCAACCTCGGTATACCACCCCCGAGATCGCCATCGTAGATAACATCCCCGGCGACTTTCGCGTACTCCGCCGGGATATCATGGTTGACCGGGTACTTCGCGGTCCTCCCACGGTTTCTCGGTCACCGCGGTCCTCCGCGGTTTCGTGGATCCGCGATCCTCCGCGGTTTCGTGGATCCACGATCCCCCACGATTTTGTGGCTCCACGGTCCCCCACGATTTCGTGGCTCCGCGGTCCCCCACGATTTCGTGGCTCCCATGGTCGTCTCCGCCCAAGCGAGGACGGGGCCAAACACAACTCCCGTTGACAACACTGACTGAGCCACACATGGTGCAGCAGGTCCTTCAGCGCTTTGGCTTCACCTGGTCCTCAGCACAGCACACTCCTCTCGCTACAGGTCACTTGCTCTCAGCTCCACCTTCGGACGAGTCCGTAGAGCCGAGTGGTCCTTACCCAGAGCTAGTGGGCTGCCTCATGTACCTGATGACCTGCACTTGTCTTGACCTTGCATACCCTCTTGGCCTTCTGGCTCGCTACGTGGCTCCTGGTCGGCACCGAAAGGTGCACATGGATGCTGCTAAGAGGGTACTACTCTACTTGTGCAGTACATCGGGCATGGGGCTCGTGCTTGGAGGACGGAGTCCAGTTGTCCTCACTTGGCACTCGGATGCTTCTTGGGTTGACGACCAGGCTACACAGCGGTCGTCACAGGGTTACACGTTCAGCCTTGGCTCTGGCTCTGTTTCTTGGCGGTCTACACGCTTGTCTTCTGTCCTCAAATCCAGTTGTGAGGCTGAGATCTACGCCACAGCCATGGCTGCACAGGAGTTACGCTGGCTCGCCTACCTACTGACCGACCTGCGAGAGCGGCCTCGTTCTCCTCCAGTTCTGTACGTAGACAATAAGGGCGCCATCGCCTTGTGTCGGGAGCACAGACTGGAGCACAGAACGAAGCACATTGCTCTGCGCTACTTCCTGGCTCGAGAGTTGCAGCAGCGGGGTCAGCTTCGCCTTGCTTACGCGGCCACTCGGGCCAACACTGCTAATATATCAACCAAGGCACTTCCGGCTAGTGACCATCAGCGCTTTTGTACTTTGTTGGGCCTTGTGCCTACGTTTCCACACTTGTTGTAGTCTCTGCTTGTACTGTGGTCTATATATATACCTGCATGCTTGCTCTTGCTAGCTTGAGATCACTGTGCTGTTCGTGTTGCTTATATACCTCTTCATGTGGACTGGCCTTGTGGCCGTTTGCTTGTGCTCAGTGTATGTGGTGACATTGTGATCCACCCTGAGCTGTGTTTTGTTTCTTCTCTTGACTGGTCTTGTGACTGTTGCTTGCTCTGGCTATCCCCCATTTCGCCTATGGGGGTGTGTTAAATACATACATATCATTATCTAGGCTATATTGGGGATAGCCTTAGGGGGTACACAAAACTTTCTCGATACCCTAGTCTTGTACCCAAACCTTCACCTAATCTACTCAATCCTTGCCTTAGTTCTTAACACTTGGTGCACCGAGCCTTGACTCTTATAGCAGAGGGTACCAGAGCTGCTCTTATTTTTCCCTCTGCACATTTCGTCTTGCATGTTTCTCTCCTTTCCATCACTAAATCAATCCAACAACGCCCAATGAGGCCCAACTCACTCGCTCACTCGCCCCGATCACTCGCTCACTTGCTCACTCACCTTGCTCACTCGCTTCACTTAGTCACTCACTCAGTCACCCACTCGCTTACTCACTCACATGCTCACTAGTCTCGCTCATTCGCTCACTCGCCTCTTTCCCTTGCTCACTTGACCAACACACTCGCTTACTCGCCTCACTCACTCGCTCACTTGCCGCAAGTCTGTAGCACAAGGGCCTTGTGGCCGCGTGAGTTGCGCTAGGCAAACTTGGAGTTTGGTACCTGTTGATTATAGAGGAGTACGGGAGACAACATTCTCGGGGAAGGCATTCGGAAGGCGTCATGAGGGGCGCTGCACGGTGAAGCGAGGAGAGGCTGGAATGGCGGCCGTGTAAACCGAAGTGCCGAGGAGAAGATAGATGCGATATAGCGTGGCAACAAAAATGCTTCATACAAAATGACACAGCGAGAAAAAATCTATGTGAAAGAGATGGGAATCAGATCCAGATATTTCGTTTGTAAGGCAAATATCCTATCCATTGGAATGCTACGTTTGTAATGGTATGTAAATACTCTATATAACAATGTAACACAAACCTAGAATTCTCTTTGGATTGTTGATCTGTCATGTTCAAAAGTGTAGGATTCTTTGACGAAGCTTACGACGGTCGTCGTTTTTCTCATGTTTCCCGACGGGTTGTTGAGCGACATAGTGGGGTAACCTCGCGAGGGTTCCCCCTATCCTTGAACAACTCTCGTTCAGTTGTTGATTTGACTGAGGGCGCGTGTCCTTCGGCACAGATGGCAAAGTTCATGTTTTTTGTTCAAATTTTAGCAAATGAACATTGGTCGACCTGTAGTCGACTATCTCAACATCTCATTGTCGAATCGCGTGTCCCTTTTCACGTCAAGCAAGTGACACAAAAATGCTCGACTTCTGAAGTTCGAGCTTATAGGTCACTGTCCGAGTCGCGCTTGACCATCTTAGTTTACCTGGTTAGTAAACGAAGGCTTTGGTAGTCCAGACGATAGTGATTCTTGTCTTCGCGATCTTCGTAGCTTACTCGAGCGTGTGCAAAAGTGCACACGCTCGACAAAACGCGCACTCGTCATTCAGGTGTAGCTCGACCCGGGCTCATTGTCCATGTTTGTTTCCTTGATTTGGCTTGGAGTTGACGAACTTCGCTCGAGAATTGTTACCACTCAAAGCTCGAAATTTGTTTTGAACTTGGGCCCAAAAGACAAGCGCCCTGAGAGTCATTGTGCGTTGTTGAGAGTCGTTGCACGACTGTTGTCCTTACTAGGCATTCCAGCTGACCCACTCGACCGAGCAGGAACCTCTACGACCATAGTCGTGCCAGCAAGGCAGAGAGCAAAGTGCCATGATGATGAGGTCAGGGTCAGGGAGGAAAGCGCGGCAAGGGGAGAAGGGAAGACTTTACATCGCCTTCATGGGATGTCCGGGAGTCCGGAAATCAAGGTTCGGGCATTGCACATGACACGTCCATGATTTCGCACTACTAGTGCGAAATCTGGACGTCGTGCAAATAGACTTCACACGATCGCCGGGAGTCGTGCATGCAGAGTTGATTGGGCGCGAGGTTCCGCATTTCGTCAACGGTCGCACACGCAAGTGTCGGTTGGCGGCACGTGGGGTAAATCTGGCGCAACGTGGGAGGGAGCTGCCAGGCTGTACCAAATGCACTTTTGGGACGCTTGATGTAACTCTGTGTGATCCACGGAGATTCCCAAGAAGGCGATCTAGCTTCATCGCCCGAGGTACAATCGATTTCAACTAATTTCACGAAGTACCACCCTTTCTGGTGCAGTCGTAGTGACAGCAGCCAGAGTCTCGAGGATAAATCTCCGAGTACATCGGCATTTTCTGTGTCATTTTCCTTTTCAAAACTACCGCCGTTCCCCTACTACTGCTACAATCGCTCTATGGCTTCTCACAAGCAACACTCGCATTCTGAGGAACAACATTCGTTGCTTTATAAAGAACGTCCTTATCGATCATGGGCTTTTCTTCTCCTACCATTGCTCTTCCTCACTCTACCCGTAACGCCACTCTCCCGCCCCACCAACCCCGGTGAGCAAACGGCCATGCACCACGGGCATCCGTAGCATACTATATCTGGGGCGCCTCAAAAGCAGGCTCGTAGCGTCCCCTTGTAATGCATCCTTCGCCTAGTCCGCTCCCTCCCTTCCCCCTCTCACTCCCGTTTCCACCTCTTCCCTAGCCCCTGCTCTCCCTGGCCCCTGCTTTCCCAGCCAATCAATCTGCAGCTCCCCGTTATGATGCCTGCATGCTCTACATATTGTCCGCCTACGTACCCTCCCCCTTCCCTTGTCCTTTTGAAAGTTTCCTGCATATTTCACCTCACCCTACGTTTCCACTGCTCTGCCGCTTCCTGCCACCTCTTTCCCTCAATCCCCCACTCGCCCTGGTCCCCTCCCCCCATCCCCTGCAGCTTCACCCCATGTCTCCGCGCTCTACATCGTCCGCCTGCGCTCCGCACCGCCCGTCGCCTCATACAGCGGCGGAATCCCCGGCTTCCCGGCAACGGCCGTGTGGGGCAGCGACCCTAATGGCAACGCGACAGATGCCACGGCGGACGATGCAGCCAACGGTGCCGATGCAGCCAACGGTGCCGATGCAGCCAACGGTGCCGATGCTGCCAACGGTGCCGATGCAGCCCACAGTACTGATGCTGCCAACGGTGCCGAGTTTTCCTCCTCTGTGACTAGCAATGGTGGCGTTGACGCTGCTTCTGTTGCAAGCAACGGTGGCGTTGGCACGGCTTCTGGTGAACCTGTCACCGCTGCGGCTGCTGCCGCTACCAGCGGTTCAGGAGGCACAAACCGTCGGTTGCGGCGGCCGCGGCTGAACGTGAGGGCGCCGGGCGTGAGGGCGTTCAAGCAGCTGCTGCAGCGCACGCAGCAGGCCGTGCTGAGAGACAGCGGGGTGGACGCAGGGAAGATGGTGTACAGGTGAGGGGAAGATGATCTATAGGTGAGAGGAGAGGGGACTTTATTGTGTGAGAAGATGGTGTATAGGTGAGGGGAAGATGGTGCGCAGGTGAGGGGAAGATGGTGCGCAGGTGAGGGGAAGATGGTGCGCAGGTGAGGGGAAGATGGTGCGCAGGTGAGGGGAAGATGGTCATCTCTTCACTCGCCTCTAGAGTCATCTCTTCACTCGCCCCTAGAGTCATCTCTTCACTCGCCTCTAGAGTCATCTCTCCACTCGCCTCTAGAGTCATCTCTTCACTCGCCTCTAGAGTCATCTCTTCACTCGCCTCTAGAGTCATCTCTTCACTCGCCTCTAGAGTCATCTCTTCACTCGCCCCTAGAGTCATCTCTTCACTCGCCTCTAGAGTCATCTCTTCACTCGCCCCTAGAGTCATCTCTTCACTCGCCTCTAGAGTCATCTCTTCACTCGCCCCTAGAGTCATCTCTTCACTCGCCTCTAGAGTCATCTCTTCACTCGCCTCTAGAGTCATCTCTTCACTCGCAGATTTTGCCGTATCAGGCGTCTCTATCACTCTTGCACCCCTCACCACAACCAAGTCAACCGCACAAGTTCACTCGTGGCCCCTGCTATGCTACCTTCCCTCCGCTTCCCCTTCCCACCCTCCCTCTGCCCCCCCTTCTCAGCTACGTGCGCGCGTCGAAAGACTTCTCAGTGGCCCTCTCTTTTCTTGTTTCCGCCACCCGCCCGCCCCTGCGCGCCTTCTCTCTTCTTCCCCTGCCCGCCCTCCCCTGCGCGCCTTCTCTCTTCTTCCCCTGCCCGCCCTCCCCTGCGCGCCTTCTCTCTTCTTCCCCTCCCCTGCCCGCCCTCCCTCTTCTCGCTTCTTCCCGTCTCAGCTACGTGCACGCGTCGAACGGCTTTGCAGCGATCCTCACGGCAGCCCAGGTGCAGCGCATGAGGCGGCACCCCTCTGTGGCGTCCGTCACGCCCTCTCGCACCATCACACGCCACGCCACCTCCACCACCCCCGCCGACGCGTACAAGTCTCTCAACCTGCCCCACGCCCTCTCTTCTGCTGCTTCCGCTGCTGCCGCTGCTGCCTCTCCCGCTGATGCCACTCCCACTGCTTCTGCCACTCCGGCTGGAGCGTCGAGCGACGGTGGCGATGGCACGGTGATTGGGATTGTGGATACCGGCGTGTGGCCAGAGCACCCCTCCTTTGACGACACCGTACGTTCTCAGCCGCGCATTGCTGGGCCTCTTCCCCTCACGTGCTGCCGCCGCCGCCGCCGCTGCCGCCGCCGCCGCCGCCGCTGCTGCTGCTGCTGCTGCTGCTGCTGCTGCTTCTGCACCCCCTCACTGTTCACCGAAGCCCACCCTCAATGTTCACCTTATAAGCCCACCCTCACTGTTCACCTTATAAGCCCACCCTCAATGTTCACCTTATAAGCCCACCCTCACTGTTCACCTTATAAGCCCACCCTCACTGTTCACCTTATAAGCCCACCCTCACTGTTCATGCCAACTCTCTTTGCAGAGTACTCAAATCTCCGAGCTCAGACCTTCGTTTTCCAACTTGCCAACCCCCTACACACCCCACCCCTCCTCGTCCCCGCCAGGGCTACAGCAGCACGCTCCCTGCTGGGTGGGCGGGCACGTGTCCCACTACAAGCGACTTCGCTTGTAACAACAAGATTATCGGAGGGGGCGTGTTTTACGCAGGCGTTGAGAGTGAATATGAAAGCGTGAACCTCACCCTCAACTGGCTGTCCCCACGGGATTCTAGAGGCCATGGCACATGGTGTGCCGGGTGAGTGAAGGGACGTGAGGTGAGTGAAGGGACGTGAGGTGAGTGAAGGGACGTGAGGTGAGTGAAGGGACGTGAGGTGAGTGAAGGGACGTGAGGTGGGTGCAGGGATGTGAGGTGGGTGCAGGGACGTGAGGTGGGTGCAGGGATGTGAGGTGAGTGCAGGGGCGTGCGGTGCGTGCATGTTGCATGTTGCACGGCGTATGGTGCACGGCACATGGTGTGCCGGGTGAGTGCAGGGACGTGAGGTGAGTGCACGGATGTGCGGTGCATGCTGCATGTTGCGTGGTGCAGGGTGGATGGTGCATGGCGCATGGCGCATGGTGCATGGTGCATGGCGCATGGCGCATGGTGCATGGCGCATGGCGCATGGCGCATGGCGCATGGTAGATGGCGCATGGGGCATGGTGCATGGCGCATGGTGCATGGTGCATGGCGCATGGTGCATGGTGCATGGTGCACGGCGCATGGCGCATGGTGCAAGGTGCAAGGTGCATGATGCATTGTGCATGGTGCATGGCGCATGGCGCATGGCGCATGGCGCATGGTGCATGGTGCAAAATGCATGGTGCATGGCGCATGGTGCATGGTGCATGGCGCATGGTGCATGGTGCATGGTGCACGGCGCATGGCGCATGGTGCAAGGTGCAAGGTGCATGATGCATGGTGTATGGTGCATGGCACATGGTGCATGGCGCATCGTGCATGGCGCATGGTGCATGGCGCATGGTGCATGGCGCATGATGATCTTCGCAACTCCGACCACCCTCGCTCTCTATCAGTTCCCCCTACTCTCAAGCGTATGGCATGGCGCTGTTCAATGCTGTTCATTATGCTTTAGCAGACATGGGGAAAGGAATGCACGTAGCAAGGCCATTCCCCTCATAGCCCCTCATAACCGCTCGTAGCCGTTCATAGCCTCTCATACCACTGCAAGCCCCTCATAGCAACGGTATGGCATACCCCTCATACCCACTCCTTCCCTGCCTCATGCGCCCCAACTCAGAGCGGCAGCGGGCAACAGCGGGGTTGAGGTGCCTGGAGGGGGCACCATCAGTGGCGTGGCTCCCAAGGCACGCCTGGCCATCTACAAGGTGTACTGGCTTCAATATTCTTCGCTCTCAGATGAAACGGACACCTACGGTACATTCGCAGACGTCTTAGCAGCCGTTGATCAGGCCGTGGCGGACGGTGTGGATGTGCTGGCCGTGAATCTGATGCCCTTACCAGTGGAGGTCGGCAAGCGGAACTACTTCGACGACATTCCTTTCCTCGGCGCTCTTGCGGTGGGTGTGAGGGGCGTGCGGTGGGTGTGAGGGGAATGCGGTGGGTGTGAGGGGAATGCGGTGGGTGTGAGGGGAATGCGGTGGGTGTGAGGGGAATGCGGTGGGTGTGAGGGGAATGCGGTGGGTGTGAGGGGAATGCGGTGGGTGTGAGGGGAATGCGGTAGGTAAGGCTTCGCTGGTTGGCCTGGTGGCCCAAGCTGTTTTCGTAAGCAGATTCGAGCGTCCCTACTAACGTGGTGGGTGGGTGTGACTCGCGAGTACAGATCGGTACTGTACTTCCACTCATGCTTGCATACTATTGTAGCCCCCTTGTCAGCCATCCCTCATGTGGTTGTCTCAATTTCTCTGTGGTGATGCTACTCTCTCTGACCCTAGCACCCTCCACTAACTCTCCGTGCCCTTCTGTTTTCACTCCTTGTGCTCCCCCCCTCCCTCCCTCTCTCCCTCCCTCCCTCCCTCCCTCCCTCCCTCCCTCCCTCCCTCCCTCCCTCCCTCCCTCCCTCCCTCCCTCCCTCCCTCCCTCCCTCCCTCCCTCCCTCCCTCCCTCCCCTCTTCAGGCCGGAGTGACGGTGGTCCTGGCAGCGGGCAACAATCCCAAGTCGACACCAACTTTTCACCAGTACTGGTTCGGGCAGTTACATGTCGTCAAGAACTCTTCACCCTACTACATCAGCGTGGGGGCCAGGTGAGAAGGACTCGCTAGAGAGTGACGGAGGTTGCAGCCCCAGGCTGTGAGGACATGTGCACACATGGTGATTCTTCCTCCTCTTCCTTGCCCAGGCTGTGAGGACATGTGCACACATGGTGATTCTTCCTCCTCTTCCTTGCCCAGGCTGTGAGGACATGTGCACACATGGTGATTCTTCCTCCTCTTCCTTGCCCAGGCTGTGAGGACATGTGCACACATGGTGATTCTTCCTCCTCTTCCTTGCCCAGGCTGTGAGGACAGGCTACCACATGCTCTTCGTTCATGCACTTCTCCACGCTCTCCTCCCTCATCTCGCATCTCCTCCCTCATCTCGTATCTCCTCCCTCATCTCGCATCTCCTCCCTCATCTCGCATCTCCTCCCTCATCTCGCATCTCCTTCCTCATCTCGCATCTCCTTCCTCATCTCGCATCTCCTTCCTCATCTCGCATCTCCTTCCTCATCTCGCATCTCCTTCCTCATCTCGCATCTCCTTCCTCATCTCGCATCTCCTTCCTCATCTCGCATCTCCTTCCTCTTCTCGCATCTCCTTCCTCATCTCGCATCTCCTTCCTCATCTCGCATCTCCTTCCTCATCTCGCATCTCCTTCCTCATCTCGCATCTCCTTCCTCATCTCGCATCTCCTTCCTCATCTCGCATCTCCTTCCTCATCTCGCATCTCCTTCCTCATCTCGCATCTCCTTCCTCATCTCGCATCTCCTTCCTCATCTCGCATCTCCTTCCTCATCTCGCATCTCCTTCCTCATCTCGCATCTCCTTCCTCATCTCGCATCTCCTTCCTCATCTCGCATCTCCTTCCTCATCTCGCATCTCCTTCCTCATCTCGCATCTCCTTCCTCATCTCGCATCTCCTCCCTCATCTCGCATCTCCTCCCTCATCTCGCATCTCCTTCCTCATCTCGCATCTCCTCCCTCATCTCGCATCTCCTTCCTCATCTCGCATCGCATCTCCTTCCTCATCTCGCATCTCCTTCCTCATCTCGCATCTCCTTCCTCATCTCGCATCTCCTTCCTCATCTCGCATCTCCTTCCTCATCTCGCATCTCCTTCCTCATCTCGCATCTCCTTCCTCATCTCGCATCTCCTTCCTCATCTCGCATCTCCTTCCTCATCTCGCATCTCCTTCCTCATCTCGCATCTCCTCCCTCATCTCGCATCTCCTCCCTCATCTCGCATCTCCTTCCTCATCTCGCATCTCCTTCCTCATCTCGCATCTCCTTCCTCATCTCGCATCTCCTTCCTCATCTCGCATCTCCTTCCTCATCTCGCATCTCCGCCCTCATCTCGCATCTCCTTCCTCGTCTCGCATCTCCGCCCTCATCTCGCATCTCCTTCCTCATCTCGCATCTCCTTCCTCATCTCGCATCTCCTCCCTCATCTCGCATCTCCTCCCCCATCTCGCATCTCCTTCCTCATCTCGCATCTCCTTCCTCATCTCGCATCTCCTTCCTCATCTCGCATCTCCTTCCTCATCTCGCATCTCCTCCCTCATTTCGCATCTCCTCCCTCATCTCGCATCTCCTTCCTCATCTCGCATCTCCTCCCTCATCTCGCATCTCCTTCCTCATCTCGCATCTCCTTCCTCATCTCGCATCTCCTTCCTCATCTCGCATCTCCTTCCTCATCTCGCATCTCCTTCCTCATCTCGCATCTCCTTCCTCATCTCGCATCTCCGCCCTCATCTCGCATCTCCGCCCTCATCTCGCATCTCCGCCCTCGTCTCGCATCTCCGCCCTCATCTCGCATCTCCTTCCTCATCTCGCATCTCCGCCCTCATCTCGCATCTCCTTCCTCATCTCGCATCTCCTTCCTCATCTCGCATCTCCTCACTCGTCTCGCATCTCCTTCCTCATCTCGCATCTCCTTCCTCATCTCGCATCTCCGCCCTCATCTCGCATCTCCTTCCTCATCTCGCATCTCCTTCCTCATCTCGCATCTCCTTCCTCATCTCGCATCTCCTTCCTCATCTCGCATCTCCTTCCTCATCTCGCATCTCCTTCCTCATCTCGCATCTCCTTCCTCATCTCGCATCTCCTTCCTCATCTCGCATCTCCGCCCTCATCTCGCATCTCCGCCCTCATCTCGCATCTCCGCCCTCGTCTCGCGTCTCCGCCCTCATCTCGCATCTCCTTCCTCATCTCGCATCTCCTTCCTCATCTCGCATCTCCTTCCTCATCTCGCATCTCCTTCCTCATCTCGCATCTCCTTCCTCATCTCGCATCTCCTTCCTCATCTCGCATCTCCGCCCTCATCTCGCATCTCCGCCCTCGTCTCGCATCTCCGCCCTCATCTCGCATCTCCTTCCTCATCTCGCATCTCCTTCCTCATCTCGCATCTCCTTCCTCATCTCGCATCTCCTTCCTCATCTCGCATCTCCTTCCTCATCGCGCATCTCCTTCCTCATCTCGCATCTCCTTCCTCATCTCGCATCTCCTTCCTCATCTCGCATCTCCTTCCTCATCTCGCATCTCCTTCCTCATCTCGCATCTCCTTCCTCATCTCGCATCTCCTTCCTCATCTCGCATCTCCTCCCTCATCTCGCATCTCCTCCCTCATCTCGCATCTCCTTCCTCATCTCGCATCTCCTTCCTCATCTCGCATCTCCTTCCTCATCTCGCATCTCCTTCCTCATCTCGCATCTCCTTCCTCATCTCGCATCTCCGCCCTCATCTCGCATCTCCTTCCTCGTCTCGCATCTCCGCCCTCATCTCGCATCTCCTTCCTCATCTCGCATCTCCTTCCTCATCTCGCATCTCCTCCCTCATCTCGCATCTCCTCCCCCATCTCGCATCTCCTTCCTCATCTCGCATCTCCTTCCTCATCTCGCATCTCCTTCCTCATCTCGCATCTCCTTCCTCATCTCGCATCTCCTCCCTCATTTCGCATCTCCTCCCTCATCTCGCATCTCCTTCCTCATCTCGCATCTCCTTCCTCATCTCGCATCTCCTTCCTCATCTCGCATCTCCTTCCTCATCTCGCATCTCCTTCCTCATCTCGCATCTCCTTCCTCATCTCGCATCTCCTTCCTCATCTCGCATCTCCTTCCTCATCTCGCATCTCCTCCCTCATCTCGCATCTCCTCCCTCATCTCGCATCTCCTTCCTCATCTCGCATCTCCTTCCTCATCTCGCATCTCCTTCCTCATCTCGCATCTCCTTCCTCATCTCGCATCTCCTTCCTCATCGCGCATCTCCTTCCTCATCTCGCATCTCCTTCCTCATCTCGCATCTCCTTCCTCATCTCGCATCTCCTTCCTCATCTCGCATCTCCTTCCTCATCTCGCATCTCCTTCCTCATCTCGCATCTCCTTCCTCATCTCGCATCTCCTCCCTCATCTCGCATCTCCTCCCTCATCTCGCATCTCCTTCCTCATCTCGCATCTCCTTCCTCATCTCGCATCTCCTTCCTCATCTCGCATCTCCTTCCTCATCTCGCATCTCCTTCCTCATCTCGCATCTCCGCCCTCATCTCGCATCTCCTTCCTCGTCTCGCATCTCCGCCCTCATCTCGCATCTCCTTCCTCATCTCGCATCTCCTTCCTCATCTCGCATCTCCTCCCTCATCTCGCATCTCCTCCCCCATCTCGCATCTCCTTCCTCATCTCGCATCTCCTTCCTCATCTCGCATCTCCGCCCTCATCTCGCATCTCCTTCCTCGTCTCGCATCTCCGCCCTCATCTCGCATCTCCTTCCTCATCTCGCATCTCCTTCCTCATCTCGCATCTCCTCCCTCATCTCGCATCTCCTCCCCCATCTCGCATCTCCTTCCTCATCTCGCATCTCCTTCCTCATCTCGCATCTCCTTCCTCATCTCGCATCTCCTTCCTCATCTCGCATCTCCTCCCTCATTTCGCATCTCCTCCCTCATCTCGCATCTCCTTCCTCATCTCGCATCTCCTTCCTCATCTCGCATCTCCTTCCTCATCTCGCATCTCCTTCCTCATCTCGCATCTCCTTCCTCATCTCGCATCTCCTTCCTCATCTCGCATCTCCTTCCTCATCTCGCATCTCCTTCCTCATCTCGCATCTCCTCCCTCATCTCGCATCTCCTCCCTCATCTCGCATCTCCTTCCTCATCTCGCATCTCCTTCCTCATCTCGCATCTCCTTCCTCATCTCGCATCTCCTTCCTCATCTCGCATCTCCTTCCTCATCGCGCATCTCCTTCCTCATCTCGCATCTCCTTCCTCATCTCGCATCTCCTTCCTCATCTCGCATCTCCTTCCTCATCTCGCATCTCCTTCCTCATCTCGCATCTCCTTCCTCATCTCGCATCTCCTTCCTCATCTCGCATCTCCTCCCTCATCTCGCATCTCCTCCCTCATCTCGCATCTCCTTCCTCATCTCGCATCTCCTTCCTCATCTCGCATCTCCTTCCTCATCTCGCATCTCCTTCCTCATCTCGCATCTCCTTCCTCATCTCGCATCTCCGCCCTCATCTCGCATCTCCTTCCTCGTCTCGCATCTCCGCCCTCATCTCGCATCTCCTTCCTCATCTCGCATCTCCTTCCTCATCTCGCATCTCCTCCCTCATCTCGCATCTCCTCCCCCATCTCGCATCTCCTTCCTCATCTCGCATCTCCTTCCTCATCTCGCATCTCCTTCCTCATCTCGCATCTCCTTCCTCATCTCGCATCTCCTTCCTCATCTCGCATCTCCTCCCTCATCTCGCATCTCCTCCCTCATCTCGCATCTCCTTCCTCATCTCGCATCTCCTCCCTCATCTCGCATCTCCTTCCTCATCTCGCATCGCATCTCCTTCCTCATCTCGCATCTCCTTCCTCATCTCGCATCTCCTTCCTCATCTCGCATCTCCTTCCTCATCTCGCATCTCCTTCCTCATCTCGCATCTCCTTCCTCATCTCGCATCTCCTTCCTCATCTCGCATCTCCTTCCTCATCTCGCATCTCCTCACTCGTCTCGCATCTCCTTCCTCATCTCGCATCTCCTTCCTCATCTCGCATCTCCGCCCTCATCTCGCATCTCCTTCCTCATCTCGCATCTCCTTCCTCATCTCGCATCTCCTTCCTCATCTCGCATCTCCTTCCTCATCTCGCATCTCCTTCCTCATCTCGCATCTCCTTCCTCATCTCGCATCTCCTTCCTCATCTCGCATCTCCTTCCTCATCTCGCATCTCCGCCCTCATCTCGCATCTCCGCCCTCATCTCGCATCTCCGCCCTCGTCTCGCGTCTCCGCCCTCATCTCGCATCTCCTTCCTCATCTCGCATCTCCTTCCTCATCTCGCATCTCCTTCCTCATCTCGCATCTCCTTCCTCATCTCGCATCTCCTTCCTCATCTCGCATCTCCTTCCTCATCTCGCATCTCCGCCCTCATCTCGCATCTCCGCCCTCGTCTCGCATCTCCGCCCTCATCTCGCATCTCCTTCCTCATCTCGCATCTCCTTCCTCATCTCGCATCTCCTTCCTCATCTCGCATCTCCTTCCTCATCTCGCATCTCCTTCCTCATCGCGCATCTCCTTCCTCATCTCGCATCTCCTTCCTCATCTCGCATCTCCTTCCTCATCTCGCATCTCCTTCCTCATCTCGCATCTCCTTCCTCATCTCGCATCTCCTTCCTCATCTCGCATCTCCTTCCTCATCTCGCATCTCCTCCCTCATCTCGCATCTCCTCCCTCATCTCGCATCTCCTTCCTCATCTCGCATCTCCTTCCTCATCTCGCATCTCCTTCCTCATCTCGCATCTCCTTCCTCATCTCGCATCTCCTTCCTCATCTCGCATCTCCGCCCTCATCTCGCATCTCCTTCCTCGTCTCGCATCTCCGCCCTCATCTCGCATCTCCTTCCTCATCTCGCATCTCCTTCCTCATCTCGCATCTCCTCCCTCATCTCGCATCTCCTCCCCCATCTCGCATCTCCTTCCTCATCTCGCATCTCCTTCCTCATCTCGCATCTCCTTCCTCATCTCGCATCTCCTTCCTCATCTCGCATCTCCTCCCTCATTTCGCATCTCCTCCCTCATCTCGCATCTCCTTCCTCATCTCGCATCTCCTCCCTCATCTCGCATCTCCTTCCTCATCTCGCATCTCCTTCCTCATCTCGCATCTCCTTCCTCATCTCGCATCTCCTTCCTCATCTCGCATCTCCTTCCTCATCTCGCATCTCCTTCCTCATCTCGCATCTCCTTCCTCATCTCGCATCTCCGCCCTCATCTCGCATCTCCGCCCTCGTCTCGCATCTCCGCCCTCATCTCGCATCTCCTTCCTCATCTCGCATCTCCGCCCTCATCTCGCATCTCCTTCCTCATCTCGCATCTCCTTCCTCATCTCGCATCTCCTCACTCGTCTCGCATCTCCTTCCTCATCTCGCATCTCCTTCCTCATCTCGCATCTCCGCCCTCATCTCGCATCTCCTTCCTCATCTCGCATCTCCTTCCTCATCTCGCATCTCCTTCCTCATCTCGCATCTCCTTCCTCATCTCGCATCTCCTTCCTCATCTCGCATCTCCTTCCTCATCTCGCATCTCCTTCCTCATCTCGCATCTCCTTCCTCATCTCGCATCTCCGCCCTCATCTCGCATCTCCGCCCTCATCTCGCATCTCCGCCCTCGTCTCGCATCTCCGCCCTCATCTCGCATCTCCTTCCTCATCTCGCATCTCCTTCCTCATCTCGCATCTCCTTCCTCATCTCGCATCTCCTTCCTCATCTCGCATCTCCTTCCTCATCTCGCATCTCCTTCCTCATCTCGCATCTCCGCCCTCATCTCGCATCTCCGCCCTCATCTCGCATCTCCGCCCTCATCTCGCATCTCCTTCCTCATCTCGCATCTCCTTCCTCATCTCGCATCTCCTCCCTCATCTCGCATCTCCTCCCTCATCTCGCATCTCCGCCCTCATCTCGCATCTCCTTCCTCATCTCGCATCTCCTTCCTCATCTCGCATCTCCTTCCTCATCTCGCATCTCCTTCCTCATCTCGCATCTCCGCCCTCATCTCGCATCTCCTTCCTCATCTCGCATCTCCTTCCTCATCTCGCATCTCCTTCCTCATCTCGCATCTCCGCCCTCATCTTGCATCTCCGCCCTCATCCGGCGTCTCTTCTTGCCCTTCTCATGCCAACCAACACCCTCCCTGCCCCACCACGCAGTACCGTGCCTCAGGCCGCCTTCATTTCAATGTCAACAACAACAACAACAACAACAACAGCAGCAGCAGCTGAACGAGCAGCGTCAGAATCTCCTGCAAACACCACAGGCCCAACAGCAACAGTATTATGCCCATTAGCAACAGCATGCCCCCACATGTCAGCACTGGTGGGAACCGGACTTCCTGCCACCACCACCCCTTCAGCAACTTCCTACCCGAGGGTTCCCGAATGGTCCGCGTCCGGCCCAGTCATGATGGCCCAGTGCACCATCTGCCACCCAAGGAAGACTTTCCCCTCCAACGCCATTCTCAAGCCGGACATCATAGCCCCGGGACTCAACATCCTTGCCGCTGCTCCCGGGGCAACCGTCGGCGAGACGGGGTCGTTCATGGCTCGTAAGAGCACGGCCGTGGCGGCGGCGCATATTGCCGGTGTGGCTGCTCTGATCATCCAGCAGCATCCTGATTGGACGCCTGCAAAGGTCATGTCTGCAATGATGACGACAGCGCGCCGCACAGACAACAAGAAGAAACCTATTAGAAATCTACATGGGAAGCCAGCCACGCCGTGGCAAATGGGAGCGGGGCATGTGTTTCCCGCTAGTGCGCTTGACCCTGGGTTGACCTATGATGCCGGGGAGCAAGATTTCCGCAACTTTCTTGCTGACGTGAGCATGAAAAGGGCTCGACAGACGTTCGGACAGGTCCCACTGACACCCGTCCCAGCCAGGAACCTGAATCGTCCTGCTATCTCGCTGGTCAACATAGCGAATAAAGTTACCGCTACACGGACTGTGACGAGCGTCTCAGATACCACGTCGACCTATAGGGTGAGGATAAAGGCCCCCAAGTTTGTGAGTGTGAGAGTGGTGCCTTCAAAGTTTACCATAGCTCCTGGGGAGCGAGTAAGGTTCAAGGTGAAGGTTGTAGTGTGGATGAGGTTCAGGTTGTTCAAGTATGGCAGCATCACGTGGGAGGATGACAAGGGGCATTCTGTGCGCTCAGTTCTTGTTCTCCATTGCAATCATACTTGCATGTACTTGTGCTAGATTTGGTGTCAATGCGTGGTGTGTTGTGCAATGTACTTCTCTCACCTTCTTGCTGTTACTGTACTACTTGGCGTAACAATTTCTTTCAATGAATTGCTTGTTGTGCAATGTATCTCCGTTACCACATCCTACAACCGATAGAGACCCTAGGGACTTTAGCTAAACTATCTGCCAACGAGTCGTGTGCTGTACAGTGCGCGTGTAACACAGGTTGCCAAACCATGGAGAGCACCGTAAATCTCCCAGAGGTAAGTACCCTTACTGGTATAATTTGATACCTAAACATGCAGAACCTGAAGTAACGAGGACATGAATTTACCGCCACTTTGGCGTAATCCCTCACACCCAAGGATCAGTCAGGACTCAGTCATGCCCCTATACATTGGTTGTGGGGTTGGCAGATCCATCAGCCTTCCCCCCAGGCCCCCAGAAGTCAGACTTTTTTGTCTGATTTGCTTGTTTTAGTCTGAGATTTCAGATTTTTTTTAGGGTGTACTCTGTAAAATTCATATTTTTTATTGTCTCAACTCTGTGAAAATCATATTTTTCTCTAGGCTGACTCTGACGTTTCAGAGTTTTCCGGGAGTGTACTCTGATAAATTCAGAGTACAAACGAGTTCCGACTCTGAATGAATCAACCTGCGCGCCGACACCCAGGATTAGCTGTGGTACATACATTGTACCTGTACCGCCGCCCTGCGGCCCGATGTTTCCCTCGTACAGCTAGATGTTTCACCCGCCCTACGGCGCGTTCTTTCCCTCGGTGTAAGCTCCAGCACACACCCTCCTCGCGCATTGATTGGTGCGTTTGGCATCTTTTGTCCGCCGTCACGAACTCCACTACCACCCCTATACAAGATGCTGCAGCAGTTGCCACCCACGTAAACGTGACGGCAAGCAGACGGTCCTTTAGGCAGCATCGTGTACCACGATGCTGCAACATCCACACCACACACTGCAACGATGCGCCTCGTCGTTGCCGTGCATGGAAGGCAACCACCCACACAACTCAATGATCGCCCATCTTGGTAAAGGGCCTTCGTGTTTGTGCTAGGGTTTCATCCACACCCCTCAGCTTCAACTCACGGGCCCAAGCCAGTGCCCAGTTTTGCCTCAGCCATCATCTCTCTAGTTCCTGCTCGGCAGGCTCTTTCATAGCCCCGCCATGGCGGTGCTGGACAATCCCGCCACAGGCGACGACGACCTTGATGAGCGGTCTGCCTTAACAGGCTTGGACTTCTTGCTTAGTACACTAGATATCGATAAAGCTGCACGCGCCACGCCCGATACAATTCCCATACAGAAAGCACCCGCGGCTCCAGTTATCTCACTTTCTCCCGACCATGTGGCAGAGACATCTGCGGAACCAACCATAGATTCACAGTCGCAGATTCCGACTCAGACCACGGCGGGCACGATCCGTCTCAAGCAGGCGACCTTGACCTTCGGCAAACCTGCGTCGTCAACTGCCAACGTCAACAACGCCCCCAGAACATCTGACCGACCGCGACATCGCCTCAACATCAATCTGGCCGAGCTCATCGAGGGAGTTTAAGACGAAGCGATTGACAAGTTAAAAAATCATTGGTCTACCCATTTTCCGTGGCTCAGAATCTCTAAAACTACTACCGGCTTGCGTGCGTTCAAGTGTACCGTTTGTGCAGCCTATGCTGGCGATGCAGGAAAGTGCAGGAGGCGCGGGAGAGGCGCCACCGACCTGCAAACACAGTCTTTCCGTAAACACGCTGGCACGGCGAAGCACAAGCTGGCGGTTGAGAGACAGAAATCTGAAGAGGAGTGCGCTGGACGGTAGCCAAGATCGACCAACATCGCGCCGCGGTGGACAATGAGAAGATGCGGACCGTCGCCCTTCTGGACTCATTTCTGTTCATCAGCAGGTCCGACGCGCCCATGGGGATGTGGGTGAAACTGGTGCGGTACTTGTCGGAGAAGGGCGTGCAAGGCTTCCCTAAGAGAGGGTACGACACCTACTACACCATGTGAGTGCAACTGCCATACGCCTCTTTATAAACACCCACGTTTTAATAATGTTCTAACTACTTTGTTACTGACTATTGGTTCCATGTGCAGATACGGCTTCGGTGAGCTGACGCAAGCTACAGCTACATGGCTCCAGACAACCCAGCTGCAACATGTGCTGTCGTCGCCCTTCGTCGGCATCTCGATTGACGAGAGCACGGATAGGTGCAGCGGGAAGCACATGATCCTGTTCATCACCTTCGTCCGTGACTTCAAGGTCGTCACGGAGTTCATGGCGCTTCTCACCGTGGAGAAGGTCGACGCTGCTTCTCTTCTGTCAGTCGGGGTCGACCTGCAGCGCATTGCAGGCATCAGCACCGACGGCGCGAACGTCATGATGGGCTGCAAGGGCGGCCTCACGACACGCCTCCGCGTGCGCATTCCTCATTTGGTGTCATCCCACTGCATCGCGCATAGGTATGCCTGTAGGTGCATAGAATTGTTTGAAGTTTTTTAACGGCTACATGTGACTAATGTTTCCCTTTTTGTTTTTACAGGGAGGCACTGGTGGCTAAAACAGCCGCAGAGAAGATTCCCGCCTCCAACGTCATTGACACGGTGATCCGCACCGTGGCTGAGCATCTCGGTCGAAGTGGGCCATGGCATCAGCGGTTCATGGGGCTGCAGGAAGTCTTCACCTCCACCTCACTGGAGCTGCAACGGATCCATGCAGTCCGTTGGCTTTCCCGGGGCGACGCAGTGCTCAGGCTCGTCGCCATCCTTCCGGCTCTCATCGTGATGTTGAAGGAGTGGGACGCGACGCTCTATGCGCTGGTGACGAGCTACATGTTTCATTTCCTCCTGTTTTTCATTGCAGATGTGCTTGAGCAGCTGAACATACTCAACAGGGCATTCCAGCACAAGGAGGTAAGCTCTGGTTTCTTGTTACTAGTTGTTAAGTGTTTGTGCTAATGCCAGCTTCGTTTCTTCTAACCTTCAGTCACTAACCACCTTTCCACGTGTTTCTTTCCAGCTTGATTATGCCAGCGTGCATGCGCAGATCAAGCGTACAACATCCCACATCGAGAGCCGCTACGTCGACTGCGGAGACGATTTCGGAGGTGGCGTCAGCGAGCTGCTGTCCCCCTTCATCGCGCGCCATGGGCCTGGAGGAAAATGGGAGGTGAAGGTTGAAGGGATTGATTCGGACGGCCGACCAGCACGCTTCAAATTCGTGCTGCACGAGGACGAGCTGGAAGAGTTCGAAGGGCCCGGCACCCACGATGGCTGTGTGGAGGTTTGCACAGAGTTCGCCGAGGTGATCGTGCACCAACTGGAGCACCGGCTTGGCGACCTGAACGGGATGTCCGGCGCTAGGCTCTTCACCCCCGACGAGTACCCGCTGGAGTGTGGAGAGAGGAACCGCAGGTGCCTCGAGTGGCTTTAGTCGCTTGACACGCTGTTCAAGGCCGACCTGACGGATGAGATCCTGCCAAGTAAGCCATTAAGCAGCTTGGTTTTAATATCAGGCTACCCCGATGCATCGTTTGTATTGCATGTCGCTTCAATGAATGTTTGAATTTGGGTTCTGAGCTTGCTCCTCCTGTTATACTTCCTATCCCGTCAGGAATTGACAAGCGCCGCGCAGAGAAGGAGCTGCGCATGTTCACTTCGGTGCTTGCAGCATCTACCAAGGGCGAGCGCAACTTTCACGTAGGTTTCACTGCCATGCTCAAGACTCCCGACTGGCGGGAGAACTACCCCAACTTGGTGCTCCTGTGGGTGGCGGTTGCTGTACTGCCGCTGAGCACCGTGGAGTGCGAGCCGGGGTTCTCCCGCCAGAACATCATTAAGTCGTGGAAGAGGGGCGCGCTTAAGGATGCTCGCCTGGGGGACCTTATCTGCATGAGCTTGATGGATTACGCCTCCGACTGGGATGAGATTGTGATTGTCTGGAGGAGTTACAAGAAGCGCAAGCCCCAGAGCAAGGCTCCACTCCCGCCTGCAGGAAAGCAACACAACGAGAAGGGTAGGGAGGTAGATGAAGAGATGGAAGTAGTTGACATAGAAGATGAGCAGGATGCAGTTGACAGCGATGGTGATGATGGATTTAATGAGTAGGAGTCTAGGAGAGGAGGATTAGTAGGATGTTGTAGTGCTAGGATACACGAATAGGATAGTTCTAGCTTTGGCTAATCAAAGAAAAGTAGCATTTTGTATGTAGACTTTTGCAATGTACGTTACGTAGTTCAAACAAGACCAACAGTTCAGCAAGACAGCTAGAAAGACAACCAGACTTGTTGTAGGTGGTGATTCTGAATCTTTCAGACTTTTATTTTAGGGAACTCTGAACTTTCAACATTTTTTTTTGCAACTCTGTCAGATTCAGACTACAACTTAGTGAGAGTCTGACGAATCAGACAGGCTAAAAACGAAAAACCACCCGTCAGCACGAAATTGGGCTGGATTCGCGTTTCCTGTCTGAGTTCGTCTGCTGCGGTGTTTCTGAAACATGCTGACTTCGTTCTCCAATCAGGCCGCACGAAAGGGTTGGCATAAAAAGTACAACACTTAGTACGTGGACCTCAGCTTAGGGGTTATATTCGGATTCCTGCCTGCCACTCGTAGCGTGAACATTTCTCCGATCTTTATGCATCAGTGAGAAACATCTACAGATACTCTTCTTTTCCCTCAATACGTCAGCCGGGAATCGAACCCGGATCTTTTGCTTGGAAGGCAAATATCCTAACCATTGGACTACTGACGTTATGACAACGTTTCCCTTCTAACTAACAATACATTATCCTGCTTTCCGGTCACATGGATTCATTTCCTTGCAAAGATTGTCGGCCGATGGCCAGCGACGATGGCGGCGCTGGCCGCGGTAGGGGTAGAGACAGCGGGGACAGCAGCGATCCAGGGCGTGGCTCGACACGCGAGCGTCGGCACCCTCTGGTGCAGCAACAGCCTAGGTATCAATCTCAACGGCCGCCAGGCCAGCAGGCTTATCGGCAATCAATGGTAGATATTAACTCCGCGGGATCGGCGCGCGGGAGCCGGAGCGGAAGTGGCGGGTTTTCGAGGCCTGGCGGCGGGGGACATCAGGTCTCCGTTGCGGAAGGAGGCGCAGGGAGGGTAAGCGGCGGAGGACGTTTTCCGCGAATTGCGGAGCAAAGTGAAGGATCGGCGCGCAGCGACGCCGGATCAACTGCCACGTCATATCCAGGGTGAGAGGAGAAATGCCTTTTCCCCTGCTGTCAGTTCGTTCCATCATCTTGCGCTGGGGTTTCACTCTCGGCCTCGCTATCTAGCCCTCATTTCACTCTTCCTATTTGAATATTCCCGCTCTCTGCATGTGTCTCACGTAGCCTCGTGTCTCCCATTTTTTCTCCTTGTACCTACCTTAAACCCGTGTGTGTCTCCCCATCGCATCTGCAGCACCACCAACACCAGCCGTACCAGTAGCAGCAGCAGCGGCAGTGGCAGCGGCAGTGCCGGCAGTGGCAGCGCGAGCGGCGAGCGTAAGGGGGTGCTGGTGGTGGGTTTTTTCGGCCCAAATGAGTCGGAGCTAACAGCACTGCTTAACCACCTGCTGCAGTACCCTGCCTTCTCCTCTCCCTCTACGGGCTTCGCTTCGGACGCTGCTGGAGATGCTTATAGCGGGTATGTGACTGCTGGTGGTGGTGGTGGTGGTGGTGGTGAGGGCAAGGAGGATTTTTTTGGTGCTGCCACGTGGCGTCGCCTGGGGCTGCCACGTGGCATGCTGGAGCAGTTTTATGACCGGCAGCAGAAGCTGGTGCTGGTGAAGCTGTGCACGAGTGTGAGTGGACGAGCGGCTAGGAGCGCTGGTAAAAGTGTGACTAAAAGCGCAGCTAGGAGTGCTGCTAAAAGTGGGACTAACGCGACGTCAGATGGAGAGTATGGCAAGGGGAAAGGGAAGGGGGGTATGAGTGAAGGGGGGGTTGGGGATTTCGTGGTTAAAAAGGAGGAGGGAGCAGATAGTGAGGTGGGCGCTGGGGAAGGGGTGAGGGAAGAGGTGGGGGAAGAGATGGGAGAGAAAGAAACTGAGAAAAGGGAAGAACGGGAGGGGCGTTTTAAAAAGGTAGGCGGAGAGAATGGGACAGGGGAGGAGGAGGAGGAGGAGGAGGAGGAGGAGGAGGAGGAGGAGGAGGAGGAGGAGGAGGAGGAGGAGGAGGAGGAGGAGGAGGAGGAGGAGGAGGAGGGGGGGGGGGGGGGAGGAGGAGGAGGAGGAGGAGGAGGAGGAGGAGGAGGAGGAGGAGGAGGAGGAGGGGGGGGGGGGGGGAGGAGGAGGAGGAGGAGGAGGAGGAGGAGGAGGAGGAAGAAGAGGAGGAGGAAGAGGAGGAAGAGGAGGAGGAAGATGAAGAGGAGGAAGAAGGGGAGGAGGAGGAAGAGTGGAAGGAGGAGGAGGAGGAGGAGGAGGAGGAGGAGGAGGAGGAGGAGGAGGAGGAGGAGGAGGAGGAGGAAGAGGAAGAGGAAGAGGAGGAGGAGGGTGACATGGAGGCAGCGGTGGAGCGGGCGTGGTTGCTGTTATTCACAGCGTGCCACGTGGTGGTATGTGTCAGCCCCTCGCCCCTCTTCCACCCGCACCTGCTGCGCTCCTTCCGCTCCCTGCAGCGCGCCAAGCTCGCCCTGCTGCCGCGCCTGCTGCTGCCCCACCGACCGAGGGAGACACTGCCAAAGCATCCGACGACGCCAGAGCACTGCGAGGAGAATCAGCTGCTGCAAGAGCTGCCCCAGCCTGTGCTGGATGCAGCGCTGCTGCTGCCAGCCCTTCCCCCAGACATGCTCCTGCGCCAACCTTCCCCTCATGCTGCTCCCACCACAAGCAGCAGCACCACTACCACCACCACTACCACCACTGGCAGCAGTAGCAACAGCAACAGCAACAGCAGCAGCAGCGTGAACGGTGAGCATCACCCCCAGGGGCAGGAGGAGGCGTGCAGGCTGCAGCTGCTGCCCGGGTTCTCCACGCCCTGCCTACTCTTCGCCTTCCCCGTCCCCTTCGCCTCCGCTCAGGCTGCTCTCGCCGTGACTCACACCGCAGGAGGAGGAGGGAAGGGCGAGGGAGGAGGCAAGGATGGTGGGGCTGGGGGCAGGGAGGCGGCTGCTGTAGCAGCAGGAGGAGGAGGAGGATCAGCCACTGGTGCTGCTGGTGCTTCTACTGTTGGTACCAGTGCGGCCAGTGACGCGAGTCCACCTGTCATGTCGCCATTGGTCATCCGTCGCCGCATGCAATCCGCCCTGGAGTCGCAGATCAGATCACTGCTCAAGCGCTGCCGCCCGGTGGCCTCTGCTGTGGACGTACACGTGGCAGGCCCCCGTTGGCTGAGGCAATGGACGGCCATGATGAAGAGTGGAGCACTGAGCCAGATGAAAGATGCGGAAGGAGCAGCAGCAGCGCCACCAGCAGCAGCAGCAGCAGCAGCAGCACCACCATCATTAGCAGAAGATGCAACACTGGCAGCAGCGGTGGCAGCAGCAGCGTCCCCTCTGTTCGTGCTGGACCCCTCTCGCTGTGCTCTCGTCATTCACCACTCTGCTCTCTCCAACCAACGCGGCCTCTCCACTGCTACTGACGCCCTCATGGCTGCACAACTGGGCGACAATCCGGGTGGCGGTTTGGGCGGCAGTCTGGGCGGCATGGGACAAGAACTGGGCGGCAAGGGATTGAACGCGAGCGTGGCATTGCAGCAGCAAGGCCTTCCTCTCTCCTTCTCCCTCCTCTCCCCGTCCTTCTCATCCCTCGCGCCCTTCTCCCCCGTGCTTCTCAACCCGCCAGCACCGCTCTCCACCGCACCGCAATCCCACGTACCCTCCACCCTCACATCAGCCCTCTCAGCAGCACCACTTTCCTCCTCATCAGAACTAGCAGAGTCAGCAGCGGGGTCGATCTGGGACTTTATTGTGGGGCAGAGGGAGGTGATGGAGGCTCGATGGAAGGCCGCTCAGCCCCTCCCAGGGCGAGGCGCTGGCTCTGCCAGTGTTGGGGGCAGAGGGGGAAGTGGCGCCACGGACGGCAGCGGTACCGCCTTATTGTCCCTTGCTCCAACCGCAGCTGTGCCAGCTGGTTCGGGTGCAGCAGCAGCAGCAGCAGGAGGAGGAGGAGGAGAAGGAGCAGGAGCAGGAGCAGGAGGAAATGAAGGGGCGGATGTGGAAGCAGGGCCAGTGGCAGGGGCAGGGGCAGCAGCAGCTGTAGGGGCAGGGGCAGGGGGGGGGAGAGGGGGCATGAGGGGGAGGGGAGGGTGGGCGGGGGCGCTGGGGCTGACAAGAGGGGGAATGGGGGGAGGGGGGGCAAGAGGGCGCATGGGGGGAGGCGTGGGGGGAACTGCAGGCGGAGTGGGGGGAGGGGGGCTACCGTGGGAGCTACCAGATTTTGACACGTGGCAGGCTGGGTGTGAGAGGGTGGCTCGTGTGGTGTGTGAGTGGAGAGGGAAAAGGGATCAGGGTTCTGGTCAGAGGGTGGACGGAGGGTTCCAAGGGGATGCAAAGGAGTTTGGTGCGGTGCTGACCGCGTTTGGTTATCCTGGCAGAGGTGCTGGTAGCAGTAGGAAGAGGGACGTGCAAGGAAGAGGAAGAGGGGGAGGAAGAGGAGGAGGGAGAGGAGGAGGGAGAGGAGGAGGGAGAGGAGGAGGAAGAGGAGGAGGGAGAGGAGGAGGAAGAGGAGGAGGAGGACAAGGAAGGGTGGGTGTATCGGCAACACCATCTCTACAATCATCAACAGCAGCAGCAGTGCTCACGCCATCCCAACCTCCCTTCACGCACACGCACATGCACTGCGACCAATCAGATTCGTCCAGCTCCCGTGCAGCGCGCTTCTCCTCCTTGCTCTGCCGCACTGCCCTCACCCGCGCCCTCCACACGTACCGCAGGGGCCTCGGGCAGCTCTACACTGCCCGTGTGCACCAAACACACTTCTGGGCAGCCGTGAAAGTTTTCGCGGAGGCCGCCCGAGGACCTGCCCGGGGGGAGTTCTTCGAGCTGCTGACGCGGCAGTGTTATGAGCACTGGGTGGGGAAGGGAGTGGGAGGAGTGGGAGGAGGGAGGCAGCAGTGTGAGGCGGTGTCTGCCTTGGGATTACCATGCTGGTTACCGCTAGGGCATGAGAGGTGGGGGGTGGCAGTGAGGGAGGAGGTGCACGGGATGGCAAGGAGGGCAGGGGAAGCAGGGCAACGGGAACACACTGTTGCAGCTTTCTTCGAGGGCAGAGCGAGCAGGTGTGGGAGTGGGGCGAGCAGGCATGAGAGCGGGGCAGTGCTGCTGTGTGCGTGTGTCTGTGGCAGCACTCAAGCTCTTCTCTGTGACCCCTTCCTCCCTACGCCCCTCTCCTCCTTCTCGCTCTCCTCCCTCCTCCGCCCATCGCTTTCCTGCTGCGACCTGCTCTGGTCCATTCCTCTTGACCAGACGAGCTGGGGAGAAGCAAAGGCGAACAGGCAAAGCTCTAAAGCTGGCGAGACGGAATCTCAATGGAGAGAGGACGTGCAGAGGAGAGAGCGGAAGGGGGGTGAGGGGTTGGAATTTGAGTGGGGTGTTACTGTTCTGGGCAGTCGGAATGGGTACGACCCAATTAAGGGGGTCCAGCAGGAGGGATTTCTGCCTGGGCGAAACTTTCTTCTGCCCTGGGCAGTCCAGCTGCCGGCGATCTATGTGGCTGAGGAGGGAGGCCGGGGTGCGGGCAGCAGCAGAGGGGCAGGAAAGGAAAGCGGGTTGGTGGGTGTGGAGGGAGGGACGAGGGGAGGTGGAGGAGTGGGAGATGGAGGAGAGGGAGGTGGAGGGAAAGAGGGGGAGGTGAGGGGGGGGGTTGGGAGGGAGAGAGTGACAGGTGAGATCTGGGCTGTGAGGAAACGAGGAGGAGGAGAGGAGATGGAGGGAGTGAAGGAGCTGGGCAGGGTGCAGAGAGTTGAATCAGAGAACAGCAGAGGAGAAGGAGGGGAGGGAGGAGAGGGAGGAGAGGCAGGAGAAAGAGGGGGTGAAGGGGAGGGATGTAAAGTGCCAGGGGTTGTGGAAGCTGCTGCGTCGAAGGGGTTGGGAGGTGGGCGTGGGGCGGTGGCCGAGACTCGCTATTGCATGGCTCGATATAGTGTAGGGGATGCTGGCGTTATTGCTGCACTAGAAGAGGGGGCTAAGGTGGTGGTTGCAGAAAGGGAGTGGCAGCAGGGGCAGGGAGGGCAGGGCGTGCAGCAGGAAACAGAGGGGGAGGTGGATGCACGGGCAGAGGATGGGGGGAAGAAGGAGGTGGGGGCAGGGGCAGGGGCAGGTGCAGGAGCAGGGGCAGGAGCAGGGGCAAAAGCAGCAGCTGTGGTAGGGACAGGGGCAACGGCAGCGTTACGTGCTCGTGAGGTGCAGCCTCCCACCTCTTTTGCCCGTGTTGCCGCCATTGCAGGGGGAGCAGGTAGGCAAGCAGCAGCAGTGAACACTGCTGAGATGGCGTTCCCTCCCCTCTCTGCCTCTGTGCATGGCGCAGCAGCACCGCATGGGGTGACAGCAGGGCATGGCGCAGCCACTGCAGCGCATGGGGCTGACAAGGGTGGGTATGAGAAGGGCATTTTAGGGCCTGGGGCACCTGGTGGAAGAGGGGAAGGAGTTGGAGCAGGGCTAGTGGCGCCTGCTTTGCAGCATCAGCAGCAACAACTGAAGCAGCAGCAGGTGAAGAACCCGAAGCAGCAGCCGCCACTCCTGCCCACGCCCCCTCAAGCCAGCATTCAGGCACGGGGAGGGGACGCGGAAAAGAAGCTTCTCACTCGCCGCTCCCTGCTGCCCCACCCTCCTCCCAGCTGCAGCGGCAGCAGCAGTGGCACCAGCAGGGCCACAAGCAGCAGCACTGCCAGCAGCACTAGCACCAGTGGCACCAGCAGTAGCAATGGCAGTAGCAGCAGCAGCAGTGTGAGGGTGGTGTCAGTGTGTGTCTTTCTAGGCCTCGAATACGCTTGCTCTGCCGGCCACCGCTTCTTTGCTGCCCCGCCCCTATCCGCCCGAAGCAGCGGGGCAGAGGGATTGATTGGAGGTGAGAAGGACTGGGTTGGGGAGTGGGTTGGGAGGGACCAGTCTCTGGTGGTGGTGTGCCCTGCGTGTGAGGCGGTGAGAGAGCGTGGTGTGCGGAGTGTTACTGTGAAGGGGGAGGAGGTGATGCTGGGGAGGGATGAGAGAGTGGAGGGGGAAGGGGAGGGGAGTGGGGAAGAGGAGGAGGAGGAGGAGGAGGAGGAGGAGGAGGAGGAGGAGGAGGAGGAGGAGGAGGAGGAGGAGGAGGAGGGAGGGGAGGAGGGGGAAGGGGAGGAGGAGGAGGGAGAGGAGGGGGGAAGGGAATCGAATACAAAACGGGTGGGAAGAGCGATTGTCAAACAGGAGAGAGAAGAGGAAGTAGGATTGGGAGAAGCAAAGGCCTCGACTGCTGGTGATGGTGATGCGAGCAGCAGTGGCGGGACGGGAGAGGGGATTGAGAGGCAAGATGGGAAGACAATTGGGGATGTGGGAGGGAAAGGAGCAGCGAGGGGAGAGGGCAGCAAGGAGAGAGGGTCAAGTGGGGGCAAGTGGGGCCACAGGAAGAGGTTCTTCCCAGCAACTGCTGCTACTCTGCAGCGCATCTATGTGGTCAGTTTGATTCGATTCGATCTTATTTGATTCAGCTCTCTATTTTTGTCGGTGTGTCTATGCCTTGTGATGCCAAGTGCTCCGCCCATGTCACTCTTGAGTTGACTGGATAGTCGCTTTCTGTCCCCTCATCACGCACGCATGTGACTCACAACAATGTTCTCCTCATTGCTTCCAGGTCCCTTCTGTTTTGAGGCATCTCAGTAACGAGTTTATTATCTCCAGGCCTAGCTAAAGCTTTTTCCTAGCACTGCTGCCCTTCCTAGCACTGCTGCCCTTCCTAGCACTGCTGCCCTTCCTAGCACTGCTGCCCTTCCTAGCACTGCTGCCCTTCCTAGCACTGCTGCCCTTCCTAGCACTGCTGCCCTTCCTAACCATGAGTGACGACAACGAGTTCATTATCACCAGGCCCCTTTGTGCCGACTCAAAACTCGTTATCGTCTCCACCAGACTTGTTACAAATACGCGACTCAGGATTTCATGACTCCATGTCGACCCCCCCTTCCCGCTCATCACACATGCAGGTGACTCCCAACCATGCGCTCCTCTTCGCATCCTGCCCCGCTCTCATCCTCCCTCCCTCCACTCCTACTACCACCAGCACTACCACCACCAGCACTACTGCCACCAGCAGCAACAGCAGCAGCAGCAACAGTTCAACCCAGAACCAGCAATCCTCCCAGCATCGCTCCACCCAAGCCCACACGCTTGCCCCGCCAGCGCCCATCCTACTCCCCCCAAACTCATCTCTCTCTCTCCGCCTGCCCTCGAACCTCCTCCTCCCTTCTCTCCTCCGCCGCTCCTCTCCTCTCGCGTCTGGCTTTTCTGACTCCATACCAGTGGTACCAACGCCAACGCCAGCAGCAGCAGGAGCAGCAGGAACAGGAGCAGCAGCAACATCAGGAACAGCTGCTGCAGCAGAAGCAGCAGTAGCAGCAGCAGGAGCAAAGCTGCTGGGAGGGTCAGCTCTGTTCCTCCCATCACCTCCCTGTGCCGCGCTTGGTGTCTGGGGGGACAGCGAGGAGGGCGAGGGGAGGGTGGAGAGCAGTAAAACTGGCCGGGTGAGCAGTTGGGGAGGTGGAGGTGGGAAAGGGAGTGAGGGGAGAGTAAGAGTGGAGGAGGAAACTTCAAGGAGGATAAGAGGTGAACGAAATGTGGGAGCAGCATTGTCAGCAGGAGAAACACGAGTCTCGGGGATGGAATCTGCATCGGCTGTTTCAGCGGCGGCCGCTGCAGCTGCAGCAGCAGCTGCGGCGGCAGCTGCGGCAATATCATTGGCGGGAGGAGCAGGAGGGGCAGGGGGAGCAGGAAGGGGGGGTGGGAACAACATGGGTGTGGGGAGAGCGGCAGGGGGGCGCAGTGGGTGGCGAGGGGGGGGTAGGGGCGGGGGCGAAAGAGGGGGAGGAGGGGGAGGGGGGGGAGGAGGGAGGAAGGGGGGCCGTGGGGGGGGTAGGACGAGTTATCACGGGTCTCGAGCCTCTGGCTCCTATGGGTGAAGGCATGACCCTTCCAGTGAAGGCATGACCCTTCCAGTGAAGGCATGACCCTTCCAGTGAAGGCATGACCCTTCCAGTGAAGGCATGACCCTTCCAGTGAAGGCATGACCCTTCCAGTGAAGGCATGACCCTTCCAGTGAAGGCATGACCCTTCCAGTGAAGGCATGACCCTTCCAGTGAAGGCATGACCCTTCCAGTGAAGGCATGACCCTTCCAGTGAAGGCATGACCCTTCCAGTGAAGGCATGACCCTTCCAGTGAAGGCATGACCCTTCCAGTGAAGGCATGACCCTTCCAGTGAAGGCATGACCCTTCCAGTGAAGGCATGACCCTTCCAGTGAAGGCATGACCCTTCCAGTGAAGGCATGACCCTTCCAGTGGCTTGTTGAGAATTTTCAGAGCCGCGAGGGTGGGTCGAATGATGGAATCTTCATGCTGAGTGCTGGCAAAGGAGGAGGGCGGGCGGGCGGGTAATCATGGTCGCTCTTGAGTCACCTCAAAATTTATGGCAAAGGAGGAGGACGGGTATCGTGGCTGTTGCATGGCTGTCGCTCTTGAGTCGCCTCAGAATTCTCAAAAACACCCTGCAGCAGGAGGAGGACGGGTATCGTGGCTGTTCAACTCCTGGCTGACAGCAAGTGGCACGATCATGCGCGTTGCGTGAGGCTAGAGCCACACCGCACCGCACTGGGCCGCACTGTACGGCACTGCATGCCTCCCTCCACACGCTGCCAGCAGCTGGTGTGTGCCTCGGCATGGCACGTGCTCAGGAGGTTCGCGGGAATGCGGGAGACTGGATGACCACCCTTCAGGGAATGTCGGAGTGCATTGAAAAGGGGAAGGGGCAGTCAAAAAGGGAACGGGGGAGAGACAAGACACTTGGCCTCCCAGGCGATTTTGGAGTCCAGTTGAAACGGGAATGTGAGAGATCAGACCCTTCTTCCTCCCACACCCTTGCCCATGCCTTTCAGAGGTACGGTCATCATCAGCTTTTCTGCCCGCCCCTCTCTGCTGTGTGGCGTGGCGTCTCTCCCATGCACGGATGCACGCCCCCCACCAAAGGCAGCCGCAGCCACACTGGGTGGCACGGTGCTGCCTCACTGCATGGAGGCATGCACTGCACGCCCCCTCACTGCCACTGCACTGCCTGCATCAGCTGCGAAGGCTGCATCAGGGTCCACACCAGTCATCTACTCTGCCGCTGCCTTGCTGAGTGCAGGCAGTCCCATGCAGGGCAAGGTGCAGGGTAAAGCGCTCTTTGTCTATCCACCCACTTTCGCATCTTGCCGTTACGCCTCTGCGAGTGGCTTTGGGGGCGGCTGCTCCGTGCACGTCTTTCTGTGGCCGGGGCACGGCCGCTCTGACGTCCTTTCGGTAAAGCCTTTCCCCTGCTAGAGCTGCTCCCTTACTTTCACGCGTTTTTACTCGGCTCGACCCATTTTGACTCTTCTACTTGACTCCACGCAGCTCGGGGTAACTCGATTTCGACTCGGCGGGGGGGGGGGGGGGGGGGGGGGGGGAGAGGAGGGGGGGGGGATGGTTTGGTTGTAGCCTGAGCGAGCTGGCTTTCGAAGCATGGCGAAGTTGGCGCTGATTGGCGAAACAGCTGGCACCGAGGAGAGGAGTTTTCAGTCCCTGTGTTGCGTGTCGGCTTGAGGGCTTGAGCTGTCAGCTTGAGAGCTTTCGGGCGTGCCTGGAGTTGCGCCGACTGTCTTTCAGCCCCTTGGAGAGGCTCGGGGAGGCTTGTGGAGCCACGGGTAGCTTCAGGGGAGCTAAGGAATGCTCGGGGAGCCTTGGAGAGCCTCGGGTGAGGCTTGGTATAGGGCTGGGGGAACGCTGGGGGAGTTTTTCTAGGTGTTGTGTTGGTACTGGTGTGGGGGTACAGCAGCATGCTAGTGATAAGAAGGTTGTGAGGAGGGAGGGTTGAGAGGAGGCGGCAAGGGGGCATGGAGCCGTGGGTGGGATGTGAAGAGTAGCAAGGCAGCAGCAGCATGGGGCCGGATGGTGTTAGCAGACTGCAAGGTTATGCTGCTATGGGCACAGCCGCACAGCATTCTTGCTGATGCTTGATGCCGTTCTTCCTGAATGTCATGCGATACACTGCATTCTCATGAGATCAAGGCTACAAGCAGCAACATGGCATTGCATGGGATGGCTTGACATTGCATGGCACAGCATGGTATGACATGGCACAGCATGGTATGACATTGCACAGCATGGTATGACATGGCACAGCATGGTATGACATTGCACAGCATGGTAGGACATGGCACAGCATGGTATGACATTGCACAGCATGATATGACATGGCAGAGCATGGTATGACATGGCACAGCATAGTATGACATAGCACAGCGTGGCATGGCATGGCACGGCATGGTACGGCACGGCATAGCTCGGCACGGCATAGCATGGCATGGCATGGCATGGCATGGCATGGCATGGCATGGCATGGCATGGTATGGCATGACAATGCACAACAATGCATGGCATGGTGTGGCAAGGCGTCACATCGCATGGCAATGCATGAAATGTCTTGGCATGGCAGAATGTGGCCTGGCATGGCATGCTGTTTCGGCTAGTAAAGCCAATCAGTCGACTGGTGTTCTCTGCCCAATCTTTGTGCACTCGGGCTTGGGCTTGGCTTGGGATGTGGCTTGGCTTGGGATGTGGCTTGGCTTGGAATATGGTTTGGCTTGGGACGTGGCTAGGCTTGGGACGTGGTTTGGCGTGGGACGTGGCTTGGCATGGGACGTGGCTTGGCTTGGGACGTGGCTTGGCTTGGGATGTGGCTTGGCTTGGGATATGGCTTGGCTTGGGATGTGGCTTGGCCTGGGACGTGGCTAGGCTTGGGACGTGGCCTGGCTTGGGACGTGGCCTGGCTTGGGACGTGGCTTGGCTTGGGGCGTGGCTTGGCTTGGGGCGTGGCTTGGCTTGGGCCGTGGCTTGGCTCGAGGCGTGGCCCAGTCAGGCCTAGGATTGGAGAAGTGATCCAGTCAGGCTGAAGTCTGAACTTTCAGGTGTTTCAGAGCATCAGAGGGCATCAGTGAAAATGGATTCTTGCTTCACGTACTGGTACCGTAATATGCTTCACTGAGGCCCTGGGGACAAGTGCCAAAGAGACGGGTCTACGACGCTCGGCACACTAACGGGATTTCCGAACCGATGGTGGGTCGTTCGTATCGAGTCACTGCATGTCATGGCAACACCCATCGCCCTTTTCGTAACATGTCATATCGTACCGTTTTGTTTCATGGATTTATTGAGCAGTAGTGCCTACCTATGTTGATTCGTGTAGTGTGGCTTCGTGACACTGGTGGCTGTGTTGTGGCTGGGCTTGTGTTGTGGTTCTTACCGGTATTACCATATTCTTGTGTAGGTAGTTCCTTCAGGTGTACTACCTTCCTGTCGTTACAAAATATCTTCTTTGTAATGATGTCCGTTATAGGTGGAGTTATAGTACTGCTGTCCTTCGCCAACCCTCGGTGCAGTCACCTGAAATGGAGTACATTTCATTCTTTACTTTGTTCCTGACGGTGGAGATGGAGCCAACGTAGCTTTCCGTCTCCAGAACGCAACCGTAATGCGTCTCTCCAACTAGCCTCTTACCTGGCACGAGTGAGTGAGCGGCTGCTAGGCGATCTGCTGTATTACCTGCGATTAGGGGTGTAGCTAGTTTGGAAGGTCCATCCAGGCCTGATTCCAAACTCAGGCCAGCTGCCCGTCGGCCCAGCGGCTGCCCGAACTTTCTTGACTGGCCCGGGCCGAAAAGAGCCTGCTTCTGTGTTGATCTGACGTGTCACCTGGTCTGAAAGATTTCTGTAATCCCGAAGCGTAGCGCTGACGTGTCATACGCTTGAATCACGAGGCTTCCTGCAAATGATGCCTTGGCTTGCGACGAAGTGCTCGTTCCCAGAGGTGTGGTCCGAGCCGGAAACACAAGTCACATCACATGTCACAGCAATGAACTTGTGAAGTTCGTAGGGCAAGTGTTTCCCACACCTGCCGGGCTGGGTACGGGCTGAAAGAATCCTGAGAATTGCCACCTGGCGAGTCGTGACGATGGGGAAATCAGACGCAACTACGCCGCCTTGCGCCTCGTCATCGCGCCTCAGCCTCAAGAGCGACTCGAGGTGCTTTCGAGCTCTGAGACGGCTGCTCGTCTTTATCCCCACCAGGTCCTAATTGGTTCCTCGAAGAGCACTACTACTATTACTAAGATACCCACATGTTACAATCGTATAGCATTCAGAGTCGAATCTCGGCGCACATATCAGCAACCGTGCCTCATACCACTCGTTTGAGCTCGACTCTTTTCTTTCCGTAGTTCCCTAACGCTCTCGACGGACCATCTCGCAGCTATGGGCTCACGGGTTCTCCTTCTGCTCGGTGCGTTCGGCAAATTCAATGTAGAAAAGCTTCGTGTGCAATACCCCCCACTACTATCGTTGCTCTGATTATATTCATTCTGTCTGTTCAAGAGACCTTTTGTGCGACGGTCTGACGCTGGATTGTTCGAATCGCTCTTTGTCGCATGATCGCAGTGTGCGCGGCGGCTCTTGCGGCAACCGCCCTGGCACACGACACAGCAATCTGTGAGACCCTCTTGCCATCCTTCGCTTCTGCTCTGTAACGTTCTTTCTACCCTTTCTGCTGCTCCTGCTCGCCATGCTGCTGGGATCCTCTGCTCCTGCCACGCTTCCGTTTTCCCTGTTACCGTCAAAAGAAACACCCATTTCAGGTTCATTACAGGTTCGTGTAAGCTAATAAAGTGTTTGCCCTTCCGCAGGCACCCTCGCCTCGGTTCTTGTGGGGGCTAACGAGATTCCCAAGAACGACACCCAGGCTGCGAAGAACGCCGTCGGAGACATGCGCGGCGTGGGTTACATGCGTCTCGCGATATACAAGTATGTTCGCTCTTGTTATTTTTCTCGCCGTCTGACAGACTTCACGCATCAACAGCAATCCTTGCACTGGAACGTCACATTTTGTCAATAAATTGGCTGCTCAATCACGAAACACCGAAATCTCCTTTCCTTTTACTTACGCAGGGATCACGAGTACGAGCCTAAGTGGATGAAGTTCCAGGTGACTGTGCGTCGCCTCAAGGGAGAGATGCCGCCCACCAAGACGCACGTGCACGTGGGAAAGAAGGGGAAGAACGGCGAAGTCCTGCTGGACCTGCCGTGCGAGTACGCGAACAAGGGCAAGGAGCTCTGGAAGTGCGAGGGAAACTTGGGCAAGATTAAGAGCGACCGCACGGAGGCCCTCGAGGCGGCTCTGACAAAGATTGAGAAGAGCCCTGCTAACTACTATGGAAACATTCACACCAAGCGCTATCCAGACGGTGCTGTTCGTGGCCAGCTGCGCAAGGCGTCGTAGGGACACTCAGTTTACCGTTGCATGTTCAATAGTGGTGGTGGGTGGGGTGAGGGTTGAATAGAGAATAAGGATCACGCACTCCAAAGATCTAATGGATGGTGGATTGGATGTATGGTTTCCTGTGCCTAGTAGTTCAGTGAATAATGAGAGATTATTTACGAGATGAGCTCATTTTAAGGGGGTGTCCAGCCCGTTCATTTACTGTTCGTAATTCCCTTCAGTTACCACATTTTGCGTTGTGACACTGAGTTTTACTAAAATGCCAGACACGATCAGCTCCCGTTCACGATACGGCACACCCCCTGCACGTACCTCGAATCGTGTGATGCACGTTACAGGAATCAGCGTGTGCATCGAACAATGGTACAGAACCGCGTCCTGCCCACTACAGTGAGTGCCCATCGTACCGTAAGCCCCCGGATAGAAGCGCAGGCCTCGGATAAGCGCCGGCGCTTATAAAAGGATGAGGGCGCTTATATCCGGTCCTCGATTATAAGCGCACCCCTAAAGGCTTACGGATTATAAGCGCCACCCTCTGAATTAATTTAAATATTTTTACTGGAAACGCTGTAACGAAACACAATTTTTGCATCCCCACATTCAGAAATTCGAATCCCTTCACCATCGCGCGACTCAATGCCTTCGCGTCCAGTCAGAATGACTTGTCATGGGGTCAATCTGACTCATTCTGACTGTGCGTGTTGGCAGAGAATCAGCCACTGCCAATTTACGCGAGATTCACATTCCAGCCCTCTACAATATCGATTCGATTCAAATCGCAAGGACGAGATGAACACTTTGGTGTAAAAAAACCAGATTTCATATATGTCATTTCATAAGCCCCGGCGCTTATAAAAATCCTCAATTATAAGCCCACCACCTAAAAAACAGTGTTTTTTTATAACCCCAGGGGCGCTTCTATCCGGGGGCTGACGGTATCGTGCGCACGATTTCGCCAGTGCTGCCTGACACTCGCCAAAACTTGTAGTGGAAGTTTTGGCTTGGCGAAAATT